GCACTTCTTTGCAGGATTCCAACTTCTGCTAATGCAATGAATGTATGCAAGTACCCTGCTGCCCTGTTATAAGGAAATATAGTCGCTTATCTACTACATATTAGAGTGTCAATGTACTGAAACGATTCCTGTTAATTGTGATTTGAGTGTTGGGATTGCTAGATAGATGTTTATGCAGAAGCTGTTTGAAATGAGGTGCCATCTGGCAAGTGTAGGTAAATTCTTTCATGGCTGAGAAACAAATAAATTCCCTCTCAGTAAACAATTTTGTATGTAAAAATGGGTATTTGTAGCCTCAGAATTGTCAGTTAACCCTTTTCTACAGAGAATACTATCAAAATTCATAAGAGATAACCACTCCATCTCTCTCAGATACCTTTCTAGCATTATGGGACTTGTGCCACCTCTTTAGAGAAAAAAATAAAAGTTTTATGAGGTAAAAATTATAGGATTTAGACTTGGTTTATAGCATGTAGCCTGTGGTGGTTTTGTTCCTCTTGTGTCTCAACAAATGCTTGACACAACCAGAAGAGCAATGCCTCATGACATCTTTCCAGATATACAAACAACAAAATTCTATCAACACAAAACAGCACTGATTCCACTTCTCTAATAAAGGAAAATTTAGGCTTTTAGATTCCTTCCTTGTAGAGGTCCTCCCTGTAAGGCTTTTGCTGTATTTTAAGTAGTGCTACTACTAACAGTTGTAAATTATCAGACAAGGATGTGCATAGTAGTTAGGTTTGATACTGCTGGTGCTCATCATTATTGTGTATAAAAATAATGAGCAATCCTGTAGCACCTTAAAGATATATACAATCATACACTTTCGTAGGTACAAAATTTTCAAGTACCGTATCTAGCAAGATGCCAAGCTCCAAGTCAGATGATAAAGTGAAATCAGGCATAAGTAAAGAATATGATTTCTTGTCTGAGATATGAGTTCTAAGGTCTTTCAAAGGAAGAAATGTGGTTCCAAGGCCACAGTGAGAACATAAGTAGATGAAATACAATAAGCTTCAGGACAAGCCTATGCAAGCAACTTCAATTCTACCTGGCTTCAACCTCTTAGTTATACAAGAGTGCAGAGAAAGTAAGCATGAAGTCATGCATGAGATTCTGTTTAGAGCTGGTCAAAAAAATTCCACAGAAATGTTTTTGATGGAAAATTGGGGTTTTCACAAAAAAGTTTCTGACAGTGTCTCCCATCTCTGGAAAATTTTAACTTTTCGTCAAAAAAAAATCAAAACCCCACAAAACCAGAAGAGTTTGTCAGCTAAAACTGAAGACACGTTTGAAATGAACAATATTTCTCACCATTTGATAACCTTTTCTATTTTTAGTTGTGCCACCCTGGCTCATGCTGAGTCATACTTTGACTCTAAAGCTGCCCCTTGCAATTAATAAACCACATTTGCCATGAGCACTCCATGAAGTTATGCCAATTTATATAATCTGGGATTAAGGTCACTGTGAGAAAGTAAGGAAGAACTAAGTCTCCAGCAAGGAACTTTTTTTCCCCCTTTTAAAAATTACATATACATGAATGTGACTTTGGGGGAAAATTGCATAGCGGGGCCTACCAAAGACTGCCCCTGCTGGATTGAGAAGCTGAGCGGATAAAATGGGGCTCATACATGGCCACTCCCACTCCTAGCACTGTCTGGACCCCAAAACTGTGCAAGGAAGACACCATACATACTCCAGAGGCAACACACACACACACACACACACACACACACACACACCAGAGGCATTGTGATCCAGGAATTGATCCCCCACCACGTGGAAATTGTCTAAAATTAGAGATAGGAGCTAGCCAGAGACTCCAGCAGCCAAAACACAGATGTCTTCACCCTCAGAAATCCAGTCGAAACTATAGAAAATTCTGACACCGTGTCCTATACGGATTGACTGTTTGCTCCATCCCTTCCCATCAGTCTCTTTACCGCAGCTAAACTGAGCACCTCACCTGTTCCGTCCCCCTCACACTTCTTTCCTATGTTTTCTAAATGTTCCCCTTCTATTCAAATGCCTACAAACATAAACTAAAAAAATTGTGGAAGATACATGTTTGCTGACATCACATTGTTCATTCTACTTGTGCTTTACCACATCCTTAAACTGGTTTTATCTATTTAGACAATTTTGCTCATGGTTTCTTGGGACTTCCCTGCATCAGTATCCATTTGTCTTATTTTCTATTAAGATGTAAACTCTGGGGGGAAGGGACTATCTTTTTCTTCTGTTTGTATGGTGCCTAGCAAAGTCAAGTCCTGGTCCATGCTGGGGTGTTAGGCACCATAGTAATAAAGTAAGTTAGAAACATCTGTCTCACCTTTTTCTTTCATGATACATTGCGGCGGTGATTGGACTGATATCTTAGATCTCTCAGGATATGTTTTGAAGCACTTGGATGTGGAATCATTTGCAGAGTATGGTCTTTCATATGGCTGTTCTAATCCTTTTTCTAAAAAGGAGACTGAGAAAATTTTTGTTGGGATTTGTTGTCTGAATAGGAATACAGTTATAAATAGTGGCACTTTTAGTTAAAAAAAAAGGAGGGGCACTAGCAGAAGTCCTTATTGGTTCCCAGGTAAAAGAAGGTACAGCCCGATCATATTCCTGTTGACAAAATAAATAAGTTATTAAACTGGCCATAATTAAAATCTGTCAACAGTTTTCTCTGCTGTGCTGACCTAACTGCAGGGCATGCATCTGCTATATTTTTCTTTTTTAAAAAAGAATCAAAGGCTATTCTGAGATAACTGTTACACTAACAGCTGTGCACTCATTCAGAAGTTTGAGAAACCGCAAAGGATGTTCTTTTTATAAGAAGAAACTTTTGACATTTGCTGACTTTTGAATACTTGACTATACAATGCTAATTCCCTTTTAAGATAGCCAAACCCCATTCATTAAACACATTTTTTAAAGTGGGATAGAGCAAAGTCCTCAGGACTTCAAAACTCTGCTGGCTTACAAAAACTTGCAAACAGGTTGTATAAATTCCATAAAACTCAGCTATTTGGCCAGATATCAGCAGAACCTTGCCAGTCTTGATCAAAGTTTAATATTTCATATTTAACAACTAGTCACTTACTATAAGTAAACCATTCTTACACTATTCAACTTTCTGCTAATAATCTCCCAGTTAGGCAGAAGCCATTTCCATTTACTATCATTAGACTCATTCATTTTCCTCAGAAAAACCTAATACAGCTCTCTCAATATACTAGAACCAAATGTAGCATATTTTATTCAAAATATTTTAAAGATGTATCTTATTACTATGAACTATTTTATTAACATCCAAAGTCTGTTAGATGACCCACATCCAGACTGAAAATAGCTCTATTACCCAAAGAAGTGTAAGAACACATTCTTGCAGTTGGAATAGCTAGTGATGCCCATGCAGATCAAACAACAGGAGCCACAATTAAGAAAAGTTACAGAGACTGACTCCTCACTAAGCAATACATATTTTAAATGGATTTGACCCCATATTTAATTTCCATGTTACTGAACCTTAACCCTATACTAAGCTTCCATCATTTGCTTCACACATTGAGCCAAATTCATCCCCTGGGTTGCTCAAAGCAGAGTCAGCTTTGCACAGCTGTCTATTGGCTGTTCTACTACTCAGAACAGCTGGGGAACAATGCACTCCACCCACAACTTGACTCATTTCTGCCCTCCTCACCCAGCATACCACTACCTCAAGAGCAGTGTAGCATTTCACCTACACTGCAACACTGGGGGTGTTCCCCAAAAGTCTGATACAGAACTTTAGTTTAACAAGAGCAGCATAAAGGGATTGCAGAAATGACAGGAATCTGGCCCATGGGATACATACAGCATGGTGGAACTCCAGCAGCCTTTGAAGAAGAAGACAGCCTCCAACCAGCACATACAAAAGCGTATAACAGAGGGAGGAAACATTTTGTAACATGATACTAAGGCAAGTGCATCATGTGCTCCAACTTTCCCACAACCAGAAGAGTTTGATTCTGGACTGAAAAAAATATCCACAGAGCAAACTTCATGGTGCTCACACCAGATCCACCCTGAGAAGGAAAACTTGAGCCAAGCCTGACTTCAGTTGAATCAGTGGCTAATAACTTTAAACTCATCTACATGGTACTAATCCATCCCTGGTAGCAAAGCTGTCTAACTCCAGTGATACTACCTTCACTCGTTTTCTTTAAAATCAGGTTCTCTCCACAAAAAAAACACACCTGGCAAACAATGTCTGACTCCAATGCCCTCTCTACACTGTGTCCTGAGAATCCCCAATGGGCTTTCTATAAAAGAGGGTACCTACATATAGGAGAGTTTATAAAGCCCCATACAGAGCTGCAGGAAGCAGATTATTAGCTGCATCTCATCAAATAACTGTACAAAAATGCTAAATGAATGTACACAGGGTTCCCCTCCATTCTACACCTTGGTGAAACAGATAAATATTAATATTCATCAAAAGTTGGGGGATAGACTTTAATGTGGTATAAACAAACTGAGTGAAAGTCAATGGGACTACAACAACTGACACCAACTAAAGAGCTCCCTCAAATGCTTATCTAAGTTCTCTGTATTTAGGTCAGGCTTAATGGAGCACATGGCTCACAAAATCCTTCTGCCTCAATAGCAGGCATCAACTCTTTGGGTGTGCTGGGGCTGGAGTCCCTATGCGGGAGGAGGGGGGAAACTATGGGTGTTTGGCAGCCACCAGCAGTCCAGAAGATCAGCATTTCCCTCCCACCCAGCTCTGTCCCTCCTGCCTGCCAATGGACCCAGCCAATCAGCAGCTCCCACCTATCATGATCAGCTGTTCAGTGGCATGCAGGAGAAATTAGGGGGAGGGATAAGGAAGAGGCAGAGCAGCAGACGGCAGCGTGGGGTTAGGCCTGGGCAGAGCTGGAGTCAGACATTCCTCGAGAATGCGGGAAGTCAGCTCCTATGACCTTAATAAATCCCAAAACTGACTGACTTTCCTCTCTCCTACCTGCTCACATTTATGGGATCTTTCAGAGGTGCATCCCCTTCTTTACCCCATCTATTAATTCCCAAATGAAATCATCCACAATTGTTTTATGTTACAGACAATTGATTATACACTTACCCCTCCTCTACCTCCCTTCCTGGTTTTTCACAGCTCCCCGAAGCTGTAAGCACAGCCTTTCATCTCCTATGTGGAGAGAAGGCCAAAGGGCTCCTCCACATGTTGTCCCCACCACGAGCTCTGACTTTTCAGCTCCTATTAGCCGGGAACCCCCCAGCCTCCTAGCCCATAGAAGCTGCAGGGGCATGCCACCACTTCAGGGATTCCCCTCAAGGTAAGTGCCACCCCCTACTCCAACCCAATGTTAAAATTCGACACTTTCCAACAAGGACTTAACAAGCATTTGAACTATCTCACCCATTACCAAGACAGTTTCCCCAATTATCACCTCTAATACCATTAACTCACAAACATCCCACTCTCCCTACCTTTAATATCATCAATTCACAGACACTTACCTTCCTTCCTTCCCCCCCCCCCGCATCCCCCTCCTGTTCTGCAATGTGATTTGTCCTTTTCATATTTGTTCATTTTTTTTAATTGTATCCTTTCGTATATATGGTTGTGACTACTTTCTTCCACTATTTGATCTGAGGAAGTGGGTCTGGCCCACGAAAGCTCATCATCTAATAAACCATCTTGTTAGTCTTTAAAGTGCTACATTGTCCTGCATTTTAGTTCTGAGATTACTTCAACTAGATCCCTTATGTACCCTAAGTTTAATTTAATCAGGGCCTGCCAACTTGAGCATATACAACTTATTCAAATATTTC